AGGAAATAAAATAAAGAGGTAGCTTAAATAAAAAAATTTAATTCTATAGAGATCAAGAAAGAAGGAGGAAGGAAAAGATGAAAAAGTAAAAGAGAAAAAAATTAAGGGAGAAAAAAGAAGGAAGAAAAAGAAAGGGAGAAATAACTGAAGAGGAGAAAGGATAATATAACTGAAGACAGAGCAAATCGTCTAGACAAAGCTTTCATGGTGGTGGTGGTGGGGAAGTGTTAGGATTCAGACACGAGGAAAATAACCTTGACCTACATTTTAAAATATTAATATCTAGTTTCTATAAGGAAAAATTACATAAAGAAAATTCAAACTTTAAAAATTAGAGAAGAGTCTTATAACTATTTAAAAAAATCTTTAAGGGTAATTAAAAGATAACATTTAAAATAATAGATATAATATGATCATTAAAATAATAATTAATGGAAAAATTATTAAAGACAAGTTATTAAGTGTTATGGGACCTTACCCATAATAACATAATGGACTATTCCATACGTAATAAATACTGCGCCTCAAGAGGAAGCAGGGAGTTCAGCCTGAAGTCGGACGACCGGCTGACAGGCTGATCGGTTGAACTCTCTGCCTTCGGGCGGGGAGGAACCCGATCGAGGCTACACCCAAGGGCGGAGTCTCTTTCGGGGAAGTAAACCGACCCTGAACCCGTTTATACGGGTTCAATGGGCATATTTTTGGCCGAGCCCACGGGCTCGGAGATCCCAAGTTAAACCGGCCTTGTGCCACATGATGCCCTCGTGGGGTAGGGGTGACTAAATACCGTTCAGTCTGAAGTCTGGAGTGAGGTCCGTCAGAAGTCCGTCAAGAGTCTGTCAGTCAGTCAGAGCGAGCGAGTCAGTCAGTCGAGTCAGAGGCAGTCCGAAACAGAGTCGCATTCAGACAATTACTACTAAACCTGATTGTTCGTACTAACACTTTCTACTTCTCTGTATATATATTGCTGTTTGTAATATATCTGTGTTATTCCATATCCGTATTCGAGTTCTTCTTTATTGGTTCTACCTTGGACTATCACCGTGATACAAGGAACCGGATCATGACATTAAGTAAATTTAATAAAAATATTATATATTAAATATAATTTAATAGGCGATAAATATAAGCTACTATATAAATAAATTTACAACAATTTATAAGTGAAATGCAAGTGAAATATAAATTAATTATTAAATATAAATTAAAAAATAAACCATTTAATAAATGTAAATATAAATTAATTACTAAATATAAATTGATAAAAATACAACTATTAAAAAATAAGTATAACTTAATTGTTAAATATAAGTTTTAAATATTAAATCTAAAGTTAAATATAAAATTATAAAATTATAACTTAAATAAAATATCAAATAAAAAAATACATAAAATATAAAAAAAAAATTATAAATAAAAAAATAATTAAGGAAATAAACCAATACATATAGTATAGGCAAAAATTAAAAAAATAACAATAATAAAAGTAATAACAATAATAACAGTAAAATTAATAATAATAATAATAATAATAATAATAACAAAGTGGGAGGAAGTTTATTTGATAGGACTGATAAGAAGTAGAAATTACAGTATTAGTGTTAGGTGATAACAGATTAAACATTGAACCTACTACTGTGACGACATTAGGTAACTAACTCATTCCTTTGATTTAGTATTATACTTTGATTATCGGATTTAATAATTCTAATCTTTTCTTCTAAACACAAGTTGCATCTACTCTTAAAATTACTAGGAGTTTGAGCGAAACCTATGAATTTCCAGTCAATCAGATCTTTCTCCCTCAATTCCCAAAAATTTGGGGACAGAGCAGTTTCGTGCTTTAATCTTGGGTTAGAAAAAGAGTGTCTATGGTTATAAAGTCTTTTTATATATATATATATATATATATATATATATATATATATATTGAACAGCATAATTCAAGAGGAAATTGATTGATTCGTTTTCTACGGTTTATCAACCCTTTGCAGGTCATTTAAAGACAAAATATTTTAGATTTTAACAGTTTTTTTGGGGGGGGGATAATAATGGTTTATTGATCTTAAGTTTTACTAATTAACCCATAGCTGGGGGGAGAAGAAGTGGATTCATACCTAATCAGAATTTGATAAACACACCAGAAATTAGCATGCAGATATAAAGTGGAGATTCAATTCTATATAAATATATAAACTGATCCCTCACTTTACGGTCACGTTAGTTTCTATACATTTCTATTCTATAGAATGGAAATAAATCTAAAAGACATGCCCGTTTCGCTCATTAGTATTTCATTGGTTTGATTTATTCGTTTTTTACGGTTTATCAACCTTTTGCAGGTTATTTAAAGACGGAAAATATTTTAGATTGTAACAATTTTCTCTTTTTTTTTTGGAGATAATAATGGCTTAGTGATACTAGTCTTACTAATTAATCCATAGCTTAGGAGAGAAGAGGAGGATTCATACCTTTCCCAAAGGTATTTCCACGTAAGTGAATTTAATGAACGCAACGGGAATTGGAAATCGGCTCCACAATTAACAATTTCGAGCCGTTATCCATTACACCAACTGCACATCCAAGCACCTGGTATTCCCAAGTGGTCACCCATCTATGTACTGACTGGCTCGGCGTTGCTTAAATTCGGTGATGCGGTTTGTGTAAAAATTTCCTAGATCTATTGACATTTTGCGTCTCTGTCTTTGGGCAGAGTGCACTCAGGGGCGACTCCGTCAAAGGACAGAGTCGCAACTGAGGAAAATTACACTGACATGCACACAAACGAGAGATGCTGGTATTTTCAAAATTTTTGAAAGAATATCTTTGAAAGAATATATATATATATATATATATATATATATATATATATATATATATACATGTTTCATTTGGACTATGGTGAGCGAAATAAAGTGTTCAGTTAGACATTCCAGCCATCTGAAGAATACCGGAGCGTACAACGGCCGAAACGTTGTAATAAATATGGCGACAAAGATGAGGACAATAGCCCGAATAATGTAAATAAAGAACGTTTCATTACCTTGTAGGGACCTCTACAAGCTGGTTGCAAAAAGTGCTTTGTCTTCGGCCGTTGTAATAAATATGGCGACAAAGATGAGGACAATAGTCCGAATAATGTAAATAGTGTACATAATACCTCATCTGAGAAATACAGACAGATACTAAATGGCCGAAACGTTGTAATAAATATGGCGACAAAGAAGAGGACAATAGTCCGAATAATGTAAATAGTGTACATAATACCTCATCTCAGAAATATAGACAGATACTGAAAGGCCGAAACGTTGTAATAAATATGGCGACAAATATGAGAACAATAGTCCGAATAATGTAAATAATGTACATAATACCTCATCTCAGAAATATAGACAGATACTGAAAGGCCGAAACGTTGTAATAAATATGGCGACAAATATGAGAACAATAGTCCGAATAATGTAAATAGTGTACATAATGCCTCATCTCAGAAATATAGACAGATACTGAAAGGCCGAAATGTTGTAATAATAATGGCGACAAATATGAGAACAATAGTCCGAATAATGTAAATAGTGTACATAATACCTCATCTCAGAAATATAGACAGATACTGAAAGGCCGAAACGTTGTAATAAATATGGCGACAAATATGAGAACAATAGTCCGAATAATGTAAATAGTGTACATAATACCTCATCTCAGAAATATAGACAGATACTGAAAGGCCGAAACGTTGTAATAAATATGGCGACAAATATGAGAACAATAGTCCGAATAATAATGTAAATAGTGTACATAATGCCTCATCTCAGAAATATAGACAGATACTGAAAGGCCGAAACGTTGTAATAATAATGGCGACAAATATGAAAACAATAGTCCGAATAATGTAAATAGTGTACTTGATATGCGTTTGTCAATACCGGATGGTTGTTAAATAATTTGAATTGTTTTTTTTTCTTTTTGTTCCGGAAGGAAAATAGTAGTTTTGAGTGCATTGGAGCCAAACAGACATTATGTCGCATTAAACAGCGACAGCGTTGACCCTCTTCAACGTTCTCAAACGTGGGAATGTATACATGCAAGTAGCCAGTCATCTCTATCTATTTTGTGTATTCTTCACTTCTGTTGCGTCAAGCAAATCTGTCAGTGCTCCCTCTCCCACTACAATCTGCATTTAGCTCCCGACATTTTCTAGCCTTTCCGAAAGCTAAAATCACCTTTGATAAAGCTAGCATTCCAGATGGTGGATGAAGCTATGAAGAACGCCATTCCTTTATTAAAGTTTATTAACCCTAGAACACTAACCATTAATTAAAGTTACACCACTACTAACCCTGGGTATATCATACCCGATTTTGAAAATATCAAAAAAAAAAAAAAAAAAAAAAAAAAAAATTAAATATAAATCTTTATTTGAAATATTTTACATGCAGGTACTTCAAACATTTGAGTTAACATTAATAGGAATTGAAAAACATATTATTTAGGTAAGAAAATCAGGTACTGAAAATTGTAATTAAAAATAGGAAAAATTGCGCTGGGTACTATATACCCATGGTTAGTGTTCTAGGGTTAAGAGCTGCAAGAGATGGGAAGTTGTGGAGAGTCATGATCGCCTACGTCCTGAGGGAAGGGACACATCACATAAAGAAGAAGAAGAAGAAGAAGAAGAAGAAGAAAGGGACAAGGGGATAAGTGCGCAAGTTGCCCAGAGGAATATTTTGAAGTCGACCAAGGTGACATTTCCCTAGGTAGGCTATTTACTGGTCAATATTAAATGACTTTATCATTTTCAGGACTAAATCGGATTTGGATGCGATTTGTGTCAAAACGTTACCTATTCTATCAGTATTTTGCCATGTCCGTTTTCTTTTAGTGTTTGGGGAGGTACTGTCTGGAAGATGGATATCCTCGAATAAGGCAAAACATAAATATTTAAACTGGTATTACTCAAAAAAAAAAGAAAAAAAAAGAAGAGACTGCTTGTCTTGAACGTCAGCATTCAAAATCATGTTTTTATTGCTTTATATAAAAATGGATTAAGTCCGACAATTATATAATATATTTTCTGTTTATCTATAAAAAAGGTATAAACATATATATATATATATATATATATATATATATATATATATATATATATATAAACCTAAAGATATTAGGTTTTATATTAGGTTTGCTCTACTTAGTGTATTGAGCATTTACGTAGTTATTTTTACTCGTTTTAGAGATTTTTTTTCTTTGAACTCTGAGCTTGAATTCTGGACGATTGTTTTCGCCTCAATTTCATGTTCTTCTTCGTTTCTTTATTCCTCTTTTTTCCTTAGGCATTGGTTTGTTCAATTACAAGCTGAAATACCTAAGGTTTTTCCAAACGAGTACCACTATATATATATATATATAACAATTATTGCCTAAATTAATGATAATAGGTAAACCTTTTGTGCCAACACGTTTCGTAACAGTAGCGTAAAATAAATAAATATAGGGTGTTTCATTAAGATGGATCAAAGTCAGCAGTAAATAAATCAGTGACAATTTATTTATCTATTGGAATTATGTTATTTAATCATGGCAATTATGTGTGAAAAATAATATCGCCCAAATGTCCGCCAAGGCTTCGGCGGCACACCTCCACTCGATGGCCAAAATTTTTGATGACGTCACTGTATAGTTGCTCCTCGATCTCACCAATATGCCTTATTATCTCGTCTTTCAGCTGTTGAATTGTTGTTGGCTTGTTGTCATAGACCTTAATTTTGAGATGACCCCAAAGGAATAAATCTAAAGGCGTCAAGTCGCACGATTGTGGTAGACAATTGACTTGGCTGTTTCGAGAGATGATGCGACCTGGGAACATCTCATTCAAATTCTGTTTGAACGTCCATTTTCGTAATAGGCTTCGATAACATTAGCACGTTGTATGATCTTTCCATGGTTCAAATTGCCAAAGACTTAATTTGTTAAATCTGAAAGAAAAAGAAAAAAATTATTGGACGCTTAAACTTGATTCACATTTAAAATCGGCTCAATTTATCGGAACACCCTTTATATATGCGCGTGTGTGTATCTAACTTGTCGGTGGAAGATGTGCACTTGTCCAATCGACCGTTGCAATTACATCGGCAACCCGCTGTTAAGAGAAGCACTTTTATGACTAGAGGCGGTTTTTATTATTTTTGGTCTTTCTTCTTAAGGTTCTTCATTTTTTTTTTAATTCTTTTTCCAGATTATTCGATTCTCACCCGGACGTGCAGAACTCATTCATGCCCTTCCGGGGGTTAAGCAACAAAGACATGGAGAGTAGTGCCATATTGCGTTCTCATGCTCTTCGTGTGATGGCCACAGTTGAGAAGTGCATCAGTCGACTGGACAGACCCGACAAATCAGCGCTCATCCTCACCGAACTTGGACAGCGGCACAGCGACTATCAAGTAAAACCAGAATACATTCCTGTAAGTCTATTGATTCTTTTGTTTAGATATAGGGGGGGGTCGAGAAAAATGAAGCGTGAGTCGAATAAAGACCAGAACTACATTACTTAGTTCTGCCGGTCTTAACCTTCATGGTTAAGACCCGCCCTGCGACGCACATTGTTTTCACAGTAGAGGCTTGCATTTCACTAAGTCGGTCCTAAATTAGGTTCGACGTACAAAACGTCAGGAACTTGAAATAATAGTTAATGACGCAGCAATCTAGTTGTGGGGCTCATACTTTAATGTCCGACATCGACTGACTCACACAACTCACTGAGCTTTACTGGCGACTGCTACTACTACTACTTATCTGTGGGAGAGTCTATTTACAATAGAAATAGGTACGTTCCGGTATAACACATTCATATCCCCCCTGATGAGATTTCTATTCAAGTAGCTTCTTCTCACGAACCGCTGCCTTCTGGGAACGACTCCCAAGAAAATGTTTTCACGATCACTACAATCTCAACCTGTTCAAGTCTAGAGTTAACCGTTATCATCCCAACATTAGTTGTAACTCTTACTCTGTAACCCTCTACTTCGAGTGGCCCCAGGGCCTTAAACAGGGTGCACACTACTGTAAAAAAGAAAGAAAAAAAACAAAACAAAAAACAAAACACACACACACACACACACAGGAAGACAAATAAACATGAAAAGTTGATACGAATAAAGACGTTGGTGGTACTGCTACCATAACGGGGCTAGAAATGTCCTGAAAACAAGCTGGCATAGTGGTCAGTTCCTTGTTTTGCTACACGAGGAACCTGACTTCTTCTGCGATTCTTTTTGTTTATAAGAATCAGATAAGTCCAAGAATAGAGTATTATTCTCATATCTGGCCGGCAGCGTTCCAATTATCACTTCCTGCCTTGACGGAGTTCAACAGCGTTTACGTGGCCTTGTAGATGGTGCATTATTTTCCATCTTACAATCCCTTTCCTCACAGTCGAAACGTCGCTTGCTTCTCGCAATTCAATCACTATTTTCATGGCAGATGTTCAGGTGAGCTACATTT